TTTTTTTTTTTTTTTTTTTTTTTTTTTTTTTTTTTTTTTTTTGTTATTTTTGTTTAAATTTTTAGTTTTGGGGTTTAATTTTTGTTAGGGATTAGAAGGGCTGGTGAAGGTAAGCCATCAGAGGTGGATGAGTAAGCTTTTTATTAAGCGAAACGCAAATGGTTCCGCACATGGCTTGTGGATCGTGGTGTGGTGTGGGTTCCCTGCAAACTGAGTCGATTTTTAAGGTCTAAGATGGGAAAGCCGTTACCAACCACTTTTCATAAATACCTCCTTTTTTGTTTACTTCACTAATTTTAGTCTTTCATGTTTTTTAATTTTAGTGGTTCACAAATATTTACTTTTCTTTGCTCATCTTTAATCACCTAAGCTTAGTTTAATACACTCAAATCGTTGGTTCATGCAGAGTTGATGATGCCGTCCTGTGTTTGATACCCTACTCGCATGCGGTTTAGTTGGTGGCACGATTGACTCACTCATTTGATGGTCTGGTTTGGTTCAATTGAATCAATACACTGATTTAGAGTATTTTAATAAGAAACTCAAGTAGTTGTTAGATTAAATTGATTGGAACAATCTTGGTTTGGATTTGAGGTAACAAACTTCTCTATTTAAATACTTTTCAACTGTACGTATGTGATTATTCTGTATAATGACGTGCAAATTACTTACAAATTTATCTTTTCTAAAACGTTACAGGACTCTAGTATTCAAGTTGGCTCTTAATTGAATAAAGTTTGTTATGTCATTTGTAAAAGAGAGTACTCCTCATAACGTTTGTCCCCATTGCAAAGTAACAAACCCTCGATGACAAAAGGAAAATGGTTGTATTTTTGTTGTATTATGTGATGTAGTTGAAATTTGAGTATGCATATATGATAAATGTTATAAGAGGATTGACAAGAAGAACTTATACAACCTGTGTTTTAGTTGTTAGATAATATCAACGCCTCGCAAAGAGATAATAGAGAGTTCATGCATTCCACTTATTGAATAAGGTTCTATGGTCGGTCCGCGACCCTTGGATACCTAAGGCGTCTTTGGGGTGATCTTGTAGTTCCTGCAAGGTGGAAACGATGGGGTCAATCCATGAATTTTCCTTCCTTCTACCACATTTCGTTTAAAGGGTTGAAGGGAGATATTGCATCAAACTGTTCGCAAGGGCCAATTTAAAGGTATGATTTCAATATTCGTTTAATTTAAAAATAAAAAATAAATAAGTTGCTAAAATTAACTCATAAATTATGAAAATCAAATACATCTCCTTAATTTTCATGAATGAAAATATAACATTATTAGATTTTTAAAATAACATTTTTTTTTTCTTTAATTATTATATTTTAAAAATAACAATATATATATTTTTTTTCTTTAATTTAAAATAGAAAATTCGATGTTTGACTTGCTCGTCTCGTCAACTCTACAGCGAGGAAATGTACGAAAGAACACGCGGGAAAAAAAAAAGAAAAAAAAACCGTTATAGGAAAAATGTTGAGAGTGGGATTTGAACCCACGCCCTTTCGGACCAGAACCTTAATCTGGCGCCTTAGACCAACTCGGCCATCTCAACATTTGTGATTCAGCTTCATTCATAATATAATGGTATAAAATGTAAATAATAATATATATAATATATATATTTTTAAGTTTCCAATAACGACAATTTTCAACTAAAAATTAAAAATTATAATCGTCTGGAAATAGTTTAGCTAATATAATGATACGAGAAAAACAAATAATCAAGGAAATTAGCTCTAACATTATTAGATTGGTGAAATTAATTTAAATAAATTTGACGATTTTATTCTAAAACTGAGAGAAATATTTTAAATTATAACCTAGTTGAAGTATTGTTATATCATAATTTATATTTTTATGATAATTTAGGACCTCTGACTTCATTTATATTCCATAAGTTATTTTCAAGATAACTAAAATATTTTTATATAACTTTTTATTTTTGTTGGTATGATTTCTTGAATTAAGTGTTTTATATTTTTATTGTTTTTTAATTTCATTCTCTATCCTTCTATTTTTCTTACGTGATCAATTAATCTAAAAGTATTGTATTCAATTGAACTATGTTCTAGAGTAATTAATTAATCTAGAAGTATTGTATTTAATTGAACTATGTTACGATGTTACAATTTTATAAAACCTTTTAATATTTTTTTAAAGGTTAGAATTCTCGTATATCAACTTTATTATTATTTATTATTTTTTTAATTTTATTTTATTATTTTTTTTTTGAATTTTTTAAATGTTAGAATTCTCGTATATCAGCTTTATTATTATTTATTATTTTTTTATTTTTATTTTATTATTATTATTATATTTTTTTTTTTTTTTGAAGGATTCCACATTATTATATTTTTAAAATAACAATATGGATTTTTTTTCTTCTTTAATTTAAAATATAAAATTGTCAAGGAGGAAATGCACGAATAAACACGCGGAAAAAAATGAAAAAAGAAAATGTTAAAAATCAAATGTTGAGAGTGGGATTTGAACCCACGCCCTTTCGGACCAGAACCTTAATCTGGCGCCTTAGACCAACTCGGCCATCTCAACATTTGTTGTTCAAAATCATTTTTTAAATATATTTCAATAAAATTTGAAATAATAAGAAAAGATATTTTTCTGAAAGTTTCCAGTGACGACAATTTTCAACTAAAAATTAGAATATCTTAATAATTAAAATTTAAAATTTCTAATTGTTATTGTGTTAAATGAACTTAGAAATAGTTTAGCTAATATAAAGATATGAGAAAAATAAATAATTAAGAAAATTAACTCTATATCTTAAATTATAATTTTATTGTTCACATTTTTAAATTTTATAAATTTAACACAAAAACAAAATCAAAAACTTAAAATTAAAAAAAAAAAAATTATAAAATAAACTATTGGATAATTTTAAAGTTCATCGGTAGACCTATCATTCATGAAAAACTAGGACCAATCTTCAAAACACGTGTACGCTCACACAAAACTCAAGGAGAAGGCTACTCGCCTCTCTAATTTTTTTTCTTCACAAATTCTCTTTGTCCAAGCGATACAAGCCTATTCTCTCTCAACCTCCTCAGCAACTTCGTTTCTCTTCCTTTCTTAAAGCTATAGGATAAGGCCCATGTCACGACTCCTAGCTTAGAGGAAAAATTTCACGGTCAAAGTTTTCGGGTTATGGGCTCAAATTTAATAGAAAAATTAACCATTAGAGAACACGTTTTAGAGCTTTTCAAAACTTAATCCCATTCATCAAAGTCACAAAGTTGTAGAATACATCTTCTTAGCTGACTTCAAACATGCAACGCGAAGTGTTTATGATTTCAACAAACGGTAAGATTCTCTAAAATTATTTCAATAGGGCCGTTATTGTCCTATTTTTCCAACTCCTTGAATCTTTATTACGAAGTTCTATATGAACAATCATTATAGTATTTCAGAACGTGATTGTAAAGCATATACAAAATCATTATCAAACGGATGAATTAATGGGTGAGTAGAAGAGTTAGGGTCCCGGTTTCATGTGTTGTTGGAGGAAAAGGAAAAGAAGAATTAGTAGTCGTATTGAAGGATTCTTTGATGTTGACAAATCAATAAAAGGCAGCCCACTCGCTTTTTAGGTGGCTTTTGACGTTGACCAAATTTGTTCTTTCCCACTAATCCTCATTTTTATCACGCTAAATCTAAATCTATAGGTCATCGAAATAATTCATAAATTTTAATAATTAAATATTATTTAATTATATGAGATTCTAAAAATATTCTCAGAGATCTTATTACTGAGCATCCTAAATAAAACATATGAGATTGGATGTTGATGGGAGAGGATAACCAAACATTTCTATTTTAAAATAATTCAAAATAGACAATATCTACTCTATTATTAAAATATTTATTATTATTATTATATTTTTATAAAATAATTATAAATTGAATTCTTATGATTAAATTAAGAAAAAGAAATTGAAATTGTCGCCAATCATAATCCCAACGCCAAACACGCCCCCAACAATTTGAACAAACTCCAATATGAAATGAATAAATACAATTTTTAGATTAAAAAAAAAAAAAGAAAAAAAAAGAAAAAGAAAAAGAAAAAAAGAAATCTCCAAAGGGAACCTTTCCCCTTCCTTGAGGCTTCTGCAAGCTTCACCTTCCATTTTAATTTCACAATCACTGCCAATGGGTAACTGCTTAGATTCTTCTGCTAAAGTTGAAACTTCCCACACCTCCCAAGCGACTTCCGGTAAGAGTTTTCGAGTTTTGCCTGATGGTTTCTGAGTTTCCGCTGGATTTTTTTTTTGGTGGATTCTGCTATTTCCTCTTGTTCTTGCCAAATTTGAAATAGAGTTTTTGGTTTGATGATATTGTATAGCTTTGTAGTGTTCGTACTTCAAAAATTGGTTCCAAGTTTCGGATTCATTTTTCTGATTGGGAAGAAAAAGATTTAGGAGTAGAAATTTATTTCGAACTCCTACAAAATCCAACCATTTTTATTAGTTTTTTTACGATTAGAATCAAGATTTGAAATCCTTGTTTCAAGAGATGATAAACAAGAGAAATCATTTCAAATATTTCAAAATCTTTGTGAAAACAAACAGGCCAGCAAGTGTTCTTGCACTTTAAACCGTTTCTAGGCCATTAAACGTCATTTTTGTTTAACAAATCTCTATATTAGTTTACTTAAGTTCAACAATTATGCATCCAAACACTGAAATCTCCCCCTACAATTAGCTGCAAGGGTGGAGCAAAGAACAAAGGGCGCTAAATTTTTAAAATGGGAAGATTATGTATCTAAAAAATTAGAAGGTCAAATTCTGCCCCTCCCTCTAAAATTTATGGCTCTGCCCCTATTAGATGGTTACATTATTCTAAAATGAAAGCATTAAATGGACCTAACTAACGACGAGATGTATTAGACATATAATTAAACGATTAGAGATTTATAAGTAACTTTTTTAAGTATAGGGTCCCAAGCGATGCGACGCGAAAGTTTTTGAGATATTTTAGAAACTTTGTTATCTTTTGATAGGATGTTCTGTTAATGCATTTAAATTTGCAATAACCAATAATTTCCTCTGTTTGTTCTTCTTGATGGATTAGAAATCTCCCAGAGTTCAAGCAAGAAATGTCATCCATTAGTTCCTTCCAATCTTCCTAGCTCATTGGAAGATAGGAACCGAAACATATCGAGTCTTATCACATCAAGAACAGAAGGTGAAATATTGTCATCTTCCAATTTGAAGCCTTTCTCTTTCAATGAACTCAAGAATGCAACTAGAAATTTTCGACCCGACAGTCTGTTAGGTGAAGGGGGATTTGGTTGTGTTTTCAAAGGATGGATTGATGAAAACACATGGGCCGCTACAAGGCCAGGATCGGGAATTGTTGTCGCTGTCAAGAAGCTTAAGCTTGAAGCTCCCCAAGGCCACAAGGAGTGGTTGGTATGTTGCTTACTTGATATTTTCTCTCTCTCTTTCGTATGTTCCTTTTCGGTTGTATGTTCGTGTCTGCTACTAACTGCATACGAATTTCAGACAGAAGTTAATTATTTGGGAAAATTTCATCACCCAAATCTAGTTAAGCTGATTGGGTATTGCTTGGAAGGCGAGAATCGGTTATTGGTGTACGAGTTTATGCCGAGAGGGAGTTTGGAGAATCATCTCTTCAGAAGTAAGTTCCTGGGAAATAGCATTTACCTTACTTCTATCCTGTGGATGCTTCATATGGTTGACTCTGCTTGATTTAATACAATTCTATGGATTCAGTTTCTTGAATATTTTTCGTTGAAATATGTTTGCTTCTCTCTCTCAAATGCTATAATTATCAGTTGCCAACTTGCCCCCATTGTAAAGGTAGTTAACAGTTTGTGTATGTACGCTGATGAATGTTCATCTTTTTGCAGTTTCTTTTTCTTGCATATTAATTTCTAAAACTTATGGTTACTATAACATATTGAAAAGAATTTATATTATGATCTTCTTTAGGAGAGATCGCAAGGATTCTGAATCAACAGAATCTTATCCGTTGCTTGTGTTAGCCATTTGGATTGGCCTAGTGGTCGGGGGATGTGATTAGTAAAAGGTTAGAGGGAATGAGTTCAAGCTATATTGACCATTTTTCTTTAATTTAATATCTTATGAGTTATCTTGGAAATAAAATGTAGCAGGGTTAGGTGGTTGGTTTTTGAGATTAGTTGAGATGCGCGCAAGATGACCCGTATACTCATGGGTATTAAAAAAAAGAATAATCAGTTGCCTGCTTTACTTGAATATTGAGGAATCCAAAGAGGTAAGTGAACTATAGTTTTACTTCTCATTCCAACATGATGAATGATGGTCCTCTTAGATATTCCTTATATACTGTAACGACCAAAGTCCACCGTTGGTAAATATTATCCTCTTTGCGCTTTCCCTTCTGGGCTTCCCTTAAGGTTTTTAAAACGCGTCTGCTAGAGAGAGGTTTACACACACTTATAAAGAATGGTTCATTCTCCTTCCCACCGATGTGGGATCTCACAATCTACCCTAATCCACCTGCTAAAACACGTCCTCGCTGGCACTTGTTCCCTTCTCTAATCAACGTGGGACTCCCCAATCCACCCCTTTTGGGGTCCGGCGTCCTTGTTAGTACACTGCCTCGTGTCCACCCCCTTTGGGGCTCAGCCTCCTCGCTGGCACATCGTCTGGTGTCTGGCTCTGATACCATTTGTAACGGTTCAAGTCCACCGCTAACATATATTGTTCTCTTTGAGCTTTCTTTTTTGGGCTTCCCCACAAGGTTTTTAAAATGTGTTTGCTAGGGAGAGGTATCCACACCCTTATAAAGAATGATTCGTTCTCCTTCCCAACCGATGTGGGATCTCATATATACTTTTTTCGAAGTTGGAGCTGTATTACTTTACATAGGACTAAGAGTACTCAAAGATCTAAATGGTCTTTGCATCTTGATGATGTTGCATATTACCCTCTTTTCTTTACAAGTTTATATTGGGAAAAATGCTTGCATGTTATCCTCTTTACTAGTTTATAGTGACATAAGTACTTTCACATGGTTTTGGATTTTGATATGAACACCTTGGGAGATTCACACTTTATTTTTGCTTCTTAAATTCAACAAACTTACCTGCTAAGTTCTGTTGTGCCAGCGTGTTCCCAACCTCTTTCTTGGGCAGTAAGGATCAAAGTGGCCATAGCTGCCGCCAGAGGTCTTTCTTTTCTTCACGAAGCCGAATCGCCTGTCATTTATCGCGATTTCAAGGCATCCAACATCCTACTTGATGCAGTAAGGCAGCTCTTCTTGTTAAGAACACAAATGATATATGATCTTATTATAGGAATTGTTAATAGTAATTTTGAGCATTGTTAATGCAGGAATTCAATGCTAAGCTTTCTGATTTTGGTTTGGCGAGGGCTGGTCCCACTGGAGATAGAACTCATGTAACTACTCAAGTTATGGGGACTCGAGGCTATGCTGCACCTGAATATGTTGCTACAGGTTCGTAACATACCCTATATTTCAAATTGTTGGTGATTTTCTCTCTTTCATTTACTTAAGTTGATTTTCTCTCTTTTTCCATTTTATAACGCAAGAGACACCAGGAATTTGAAACTTAGTTCCAAAAGTACAAAATAATATCCATGGAGTCGAATCAAAATGGTTTTCAAAATACTGAAATTTCGAGAAGCAACATTAAAGTAATATTATAATGACAAGAAGGGAGATGACTCGATCTAAGGGATGCCCCTGCAGCTGCATGGCTTCGCAGGCTCTTGCAGCCGACGGTGGTCTATACTCCATTTGAAAAAAGAACAGAAAAATATGAATGAGTATAAAAATATTCAGTAAGCAACTTACTTGTAAAGGCTCGTCAGACTTAATCCTTAGGACGGTCTCTCAAGATATGTGCTCATATTCTAACTCTAGCATTAGCCAATGTCATGTCCGATACTAGCCCTATAAGGCTTATATGTACCAAAATCCTAAACATGCTTAGTCTAGGGTGTATAACTAAGCCCCTCGAGTCATAATGTAGGATTAAGTTGTACTTAGCCTTTTGTTTACATTCCCCAAAGTCTATTATTAACTCAGTGCTACTAGCACATAAGTCAAATATCTCTATAACGGACTCATGGGTAAGTTTCATGTTGTATGAGGTAATCTGTGCACTATTCGCACTCTAGTACTCTGACCACCTGCACCCATATGAATTGTCTACTAGGTGCACCCTATAGCATACTCTCTATGACTTCAGCATCTCCTGTGGGTGCCAATTAACCTTTATCTATCAAGTAAACCCTAATCATGCTAGAAAAGCTTGAGGTTACTCATCAACGGTCCCTACTTGATTGCTTGGTCACCCAAAAATACCAGTGTGACCAAATGTGGATCCTAGAACTAAGAGAATGTGCAATATTTTCTCATGTTCATGCTTATAATCATTTAGAATCTCTAGGGCACATGGCACATTTCCAATATAATATTTGGGGATACAAAGGTATTTAATCTCTATAACACACAATCATGCATAATACATACATGTAACGGTGTCCAACATGCTCAATCAACAGATTTACAAACATCCGAAGCATGCTAAAGTCCTCATAAAGTTAACACTAGTAAAAGTTCACAACATACATGCGAAAACTTTAAAATAATATCGTGCTAAACCAAAAAACAAACAAGTATTTAGGCTTGATCAATTAGGTTTACCATCATGCTTTCTAATAAATTTGTCCATTATCCTAATCGACCCTACAAGTATTACTTAAAAATTATCCAGCTTGTTTCTGGTCTCCAAGAGTTTCAATTCACAAAAATCCTTAATTATGTCCTATGGGATGAAAAGTTGGACTATTCTAGGGTGTTTATGTTTTTTTAGTGGGTTCAGTAAAAGTTCTGACTATGATTGTTTAGAGTAAGAATCTATATGGTCTCCATTGCTATTCTTAAAAGAGTACGTGAACATTGGTGAAACTATGAACTTAGTGAGAAAATGTGCACACGAATGCTACTAGCTTTTACATTATCCATGCAAAGTTATGATTGAAATTTTTTATTTATGTTACATTCTTTATGTTTCTTGAAAGAAATTCTTGGCGGTTAACCGTGTAAACTGCAATATCCATTGCTTGGCAGGTCGATTGACATCGAAAAGCGATGTTTATAGTTTTGGGGTTGTGTTACTCGAATTGTTATCTGGTCGACGTGCTGAGGACAATCTTGTCAATTGGGCAAGTCCATATTTGGGTGATAAGAGAAGGTTATTTCGAATTATGGACACCAAACTTGAAGGGCGGTATCCTCAAAAGGGAGCTTACATAGTCGCTAATTTGGCTACACAATGCCTTAGGAGTGAACCAAGAGCTCGACCACGGATGGTAGATATTTTGGGTGCATTAGAGGAGCTTGAATCCCTAAAAACTACAACTAGAATCTCACAACCGGTTCAACGTGCAACTCTTGCTTTGACAAACTCGAAGCCAAAGACTGATGCACCTCTTTTGATATCGCATCAGAAGTCACCACGACGACAATAATGAAAATGTATAGTATAGTGTACTCATTAGTGCTATTACAAAAAAAAAATATTGATAGATTCTTTACAGGTATACTATGTAAGGTTTGAGTTGGGTAAAAATAGAAGTTCAAGGTGGGTAACAGTTGGGATTTATATAAAGGCGTGTAATTAATTATTTTTATTTTTAATAATATTTTTTATTATTTTATTAATATAATCTTGAATATAATTGTAGTACAAGACCCCACCGAATATTTGATTTTTTCTTTATAAATTAATATATTTTATTTATATATAAAAAATAAAATAAAATCAGAGGAAGAAGCTCAATTTTAAATAATACGTTTTAATTTTTTTGTTTTTTTTTTTTCACTCACTTAGGCTCTCATTCAAAGATTTTTTTTTTTTTTTTTTTGTTTTTTAGCCCAATTAGAAAACAAAAATCAGTTGGAATAGAGAATCGACCCACAAATCGACCCACAGATCGACCCACAGTTAAAACGTGTTAGAATCGACTTCACAGTTAGAAAACGTGTTAGAATCGACTTCACAGTTAGAATAACATGTTAGAATTGACCCTACAATCGACCCTAAGGTTAAAATCAGTTAGAATAATAGAACCCACCATTAGAATGTAGTTTCTGATAGTTAGAATAACACGTTAGAATCTACCCAGAATGCACTTTCTAATTTTTATTATGATATCAAATTTTTGTTCTTATCAGACTAGCCTAAATTAGCCTCTTTGTTTTTTTTAAATATTTTACTTAATATTACTTTACTTAGTAAAAAACCAACTTCAATTTACTAATACCTACCATCAAATCATGAATGTTGGAAATTTTTTTATTATAAATGGTTAAACTAAAAAAATCGAATTTATTATTTACTTACAAAAAAAAATCAATTAATTTTTTTTGAATTTCTATTAATATTTTGTTTTTTAAAAAATAACTATAATATCTACATTGGTATAAGTTTATTTATTATTATTATTATAAATTTTTTAAAAGGGTTTTTCAAACTCCAAATTAGGTAAGCAATAAAAATAAATAAACCATCCTTCATTTCCTTCGCATTCCAATTAAAAATTGACGCATTCCAATTAAAAATAGAAAAACAAATAAAATCAAAACAGTAAAACTATAAAATTGGATGATAAGTTCCTAGTCAAATGTAAAACAGATTTAATATATTTTTTCTTCAAATTTATTCGCCTATTTCAAACAATAATCCTATCCTTCTACTTCTACTCTATAAATACAACATTACATTCACTTCCTTCCTCGTACTTTTCATTTCATTTATATTTCACATTTACAAGGTAGAATGGCGAGAATACTCTGTCTAATTGCTTTAATCTTCTTTTCTTTGTTTGCTTTTTCTCAATCCTTACCACTCTCAACACAAGGAAGATGGATTGTAGATGCTCGAACAGGTCAACGTGTGAAGTTGAGTTGTGTCAATTTGGTATCTCATGCTCAGTCTATGGTTGCTCAAGGACTTGATAAGCGTCCATTGAAAGAGTTGGTAGCTGAGATTAGTACTCGCAAATTCAATTGTGTTCGATTGACGTGGTCTGTCCATATGTTTACTCGTTATGCATATGAGACTATTGGTGATGTCTTTGACGGTCTAGATATTGCTGACGTAAAAAATGGAGTTAAAAAGCACAATCCTGAAATATTGAAAATGACGGTTGCTAAGGCGTTTCAAACTGTCATTAATGCTTTGGGCTCGGAGAAAATTATGGTTATTTTAGATAATCATATTAGCCAACCAAGATGGTGTTGCTCTCTCGACGATGGAAATGGGTTCTTTGGAGATTGCAATTTTAACCCTAGTGAATGGCTTCAAAGCTTGTCATTTGTTGCCGTGCAATTCACATGCAATCCATATGTGAGTTTGACTTTCTAAACTTTTTTTTTTTTAAATGAAAATTTCGTTATTATTATTAATATTTTGAATTTTTACGATCCTTTTTGTGTTAAAGGTGGTAGGAATGAGTTTAAGAAACGAGCTTCGAGGGTCATTATCAAATGCTGATGCCTGGTGCTATTATGTGAGACAAGGAAGCCAACTGATCCATAGAATAAACCCTAATCTCCTTGTAGTCATTTCTGGACTAAACTATGACAATGATCTAAGCCATCTAAAGAAAAGACCTCTAGGCTACACTTTACACAACAAAGTAGTGTTGGAGGCACATCTCTACTCGTTCAGTGGAGATCATGAAAGCAAGTTCACAAAGAATCCATTAAATGTAATATGCGACCAAATCATGGAGAAGTTTGAAAAGGAAGCTGGGTTTGTGGTGGACATGGAGAATCCATATCCTTTGTTCCTTAGTGAATTCGGGTACGATCAATCGGGTGGAAATGATGCTCAAAATCGATTCATGAGCTGCTTTTTAGCTCGAATTGTAGAGAAGGATATTGATTGGGCGTTGTGGGCTTTCCAAGGAAGTTATATGTATAGACAAGGACATCAAGATATTGAAGAAAGTTTTGGTGTTATGGATTACTCTTGGACTAAAGATCGTAACCCTAAACTTCAACAATTACTTCAACTTGCCAAGAGAATCAACCAAGGTTTTTCGTTGCTGAATTATCTATATGAATCCTATATATATTATTTTATCAGAATTTGAAACAAAAGTTTGTTTTTGCAGATCCAAATTCAAAAGCACCAATGTCATACATAATGCTACACCCAGCATCGGGACAATGTGTTAAGTCCAATAGCAACGGAGAGGCTGAACTTGGTGATTGTACAGCTCTGACCCAATGGAACCATAGTGGAGATGCAAGTTTGATGAAGTTGTCAAGCGGGAAATGTTTGAAGTCTGCTGGAGATGGAAAGTCGCCGGTGGTATCCGATGATTGCTCTGGTGATGGAAGCAATTGGACGGTGGCTTCAAAAGCAAAGCTTCAATTGGCCACCAAAATTGGTGAGGACAACTTTTGTTTGGAAAAGGAATCAGACACTTCAATTGTTGTGAAGAAATGCATTTGCCTAGACGAGGGGAGTTGCATGGATGATCCTCAAAGCCAATGGTTCAAGCTTATTCCAACCAATGTTGCTTAGTTTATTTATTAATTTTAAATAGGAATTTAGAATTTTGTTAGGTTCTATTGGAATTGGAATTTGGTAGCAGTTTTTAGGATTAGATTTTGTTCTTAAATCGTATTGGTCAATAATCTTTTCGTATACAAACGAGCATGAATCTTTTCGTATACAAACGAGCATGAATCTTTTCGTATACAAACGAGCATGAATCTTTTCGTATACAAACGAGCATGAATCTTTTCGTATACAAACGAGCATGAATCTTTGAAACTTTGTGGAGGAACTTTGGGGCATTAGATTCTCACTAAGGCGGTTTTTTGAGCATTAGATTCTCATTAAGATGGAATAGTCTACCATCTACATTTTTACAACTAATTGATTTAGTCTATCAGTTATTTGTCTCAGTTTTACAACTAATTGATTCAGTCTATCAGTTATTTGTCTCATTTTTACAACTAGTTGATTCAGTCTATCAGTTATTTGTCTCATTTTTACAACTAGCTGATTCAGTCTATCAGTTATTTGTCTCATTTTTACAACTAGCTGATTCAGTCTATCAGTTATTTGTCTCATTTTTACAACTAGCTGATTCAGTCTAGTTGAATTGGATCAGTTATTTGTCTCATTTTTACAACTAGCTGATTCAGTCAAGTTGAATTGGATTAGTTATTTGTCTCATTTAGCCTTTTGGTTATTTGTCTCATTTAGTCTATAATCGTGCATTTTTTATGTGATTTGAATGATGGGAGCATATTTTGGAACTTGACAAAAATAGGAGGTAATTGGTAATTTCTTTTTAAAATAATGTCATGTTATTGAATCGAATTGATAATTTTAGTAGCTAATTGAATTTTCTATATGAATTTTCTCATAGGACAAGCATGAATATGGTTTATTAATATTTGAGAAGTATATAACAACATTATTGGAAATTAAGCTTCTAAAGCATTATACTTGGCTACTAGTAGTATGTGATTTGCTCGGTATTACTAAATTGTCGGCATAATGATGCAGTTGATAGCATGTTTGTTCTTTGTTATGTTTATTACAACATATTTATTAGCAGTAATTCATGATTGTGTCTGTTAATAGGTTATTATATAGTTTAAGGTTACTATATAGTCTAAGTCCACTAATAGATATTGTGTTTATTTGGAGTTTTTAAAACGAGAGATTTCTACCTCTTGTAAAGAATGCCAATGAGATCCCACATAAATTGAACAGAGGAATGAATGATGTTGGTTTCGGGGTTGGAAGAAAAAGGTCCTAGGGGTAGGGGTGGATTGTGAGAATTTGACTTTGGTCCTAGGGGGTTGGAAGAAAAAGGTCCTAGGGGTTGGAAGAAAAGAAAAAAAATACGAAACTTGAAATTTGACTATTTAAAACAAATTACATTCTAACCGGCCAACAAATCTTGCGCCTAAAGATGCCCTTCCATTCTACATGTAGTAACGTTAATTCAAATAGAAATACGCCCTTTCATTGTACGTGTGTAGTTTAGAAATAAGCAAAACCCTTAGGGAAAGCCCAAGAGGAAAAGCTCAAAGAGAACAAGGAGTGGGCTTGGGCTGTTACAAGTGGTATCAGAGCTAGACACTGGGTGATGTGCCAGCGAGGCACTGAGCCCTGAAGGAAAGTGGACACCAGGTGGTGTGTCAGCGAGAACGTTGAGCCCAGAATGGGGTGGATTGTGAGTTTCCACATTGATTGGAGAGAGGAACGAGTGTCAGCGAGGATGTGGGCAATGAAGGGAGGTGGACATCGGACGGTGTGCCAGCGAGGACGCTGAGCCTCGAAGGGAAGTGGATTGTGAGATCCCAAATCGATTGGAAAGAGGAACGAGTGTCAGCAAGGACGTTGGACCTCAAAGGGAGGTGGATTGTGAGATCCCACATCAATTGAAGAGAGGAACGAGTGCCAGCAAGGACGTTGGGCCCCGAAGGGAGGTGGACATAGAATGGTGTGCCAGCAAGGACACTGGACCTTGAAGAGGGTAGATTGTGAGACCCAACATCGATGGGAGAGAGGAACAAGTGCCAACGAGGACGTTGGGCTCTGAAGGGAGGTGGATTGTGAGATCCCAAATCGATT